CATAGCTTCAATGATGGCATCACGCCGGAATTCCCCGACATCTATCCATTGCTCATCTTGTCGCAGCAGTATTGCCATCATTTGAGCACTGTTCGCCAGCAACATGAGCTGGCTAGTATTGGTAGGGCCAACACTCGGAGGATCCGGGATGAAAGTTGTCAAAGCCGAACTCGTCTTTGCTGGAGACCTTGAGGTGTTGATCTTATCTCTCGCCTTCTGCTTCCGTTGATAAATAATGTCGCGTGCGTGCCGTTTACGCTTAGGTTTAGGTCGAGTGCGAACTACAGGACGATAATTAGTACGAACTGCGGGACAATAATCGTTCATCTCAATATCTTGAGCCGAAGAAGTCTCCCCAGAGCCGCTCACGCCTGCAGCTGCTCTGTCTTGCGAGAGCGATGGTAAAGAATAGCAGGATCTTGATGCTTGATGAAGCAACGAGCAGGTAAGGTTTATCATTTCAAGCATTTAATCGCAGCTACTGACATGAAGCCAAACAGTGTCGAGACCGAGACGGAGGCTATCATGCAAGATGTCATCGATTCGGAATTTAAAGACAGCACTGTCATCGCAGTGATGCATCGCCTGACGCATATTATCCGTTACGATAAGGTCGCTTTACTCGAAGATGGCCACTTGATAGAGTTTGATGCACCACAAACATTGTTGCAGAATTCAAACTCGAGATTTTCTAGACTTTATTGGACAAGTGGCGCGTCTTTATTAGCATGATGGTTTTCAGACGAACTTATTGCTTTAAAATCATCAATCAACAGAAAAAAGGCTTAATGTGCAAAAGATAAACCATCCGAATCCATCTTACCATTGGGACTAGGAAAACCTCGAAGAATGTGAAATGACAAGCATAAACCGACACAGACTTTGCTGAATAAAACGGTTTCCGAGCATCCATCCCAACAGCGTGACTGGTGACCATATATGCCCATGATTGGTCTGCTGACTCATCCAAACAATAGGGCCGATCTCGGCAACGGCAAAGCATCATACGAGCAAATTAACCTCACACTGTTAACAATCAACCGGTTGGTTAGCTCAGTTGGTTAGAGCGTCGTACTAATACAGCAGAATACTACTGTATTAAGTAATGCGAAGGCCATGAGTTCGACCCTCATACTGACCACTTCACTCTCTTTTTGAAAATTTTGCCTCCTTTTCCTAGAGTTTATTTTTCTTCATGTTTTTTTCCCGCTCTACTTCGACCTCTACATAATGATAAATGTGAAGTTGATGTCATTATATGTAGTTAATGTTCCCTTTTTAAATTCTACATCCTTTATTTATGATGCTTTTGATTCACTATAGCAAGCTGGGAGATAGAAATAGTGTCTAGTCAATACTAGCACTTTTAACCGAAATCCGTAAGCCTCCTTTTCCATTTTCATCTATTTGTTCGTGTAAACACTAGCTAGCTATTTGTGTTCTTTCAGCTTATTGGTTGAGAACAGAACTGTATCTTTTCATTGTCACCATCCAGTATCTTTTAAATGTATGCGAGAAAGGGACACCGAGCACGCTTAGTCCGCTCAGTGTCAGCAGCCCATCATCAATTGGTTGAGAACAGGATCTATTTTCAGCATACCTATGCTTCATTTACCGCCGTGATTTGTCTACGTGCTCTCAAGGTGGCGACCTCTTCTTGTTGTCAGATCCTTCGATTGAATAGGCGTCGAACCAGTTGCCGTACTTTAAGGTATTTATATCCGATCTTAAAAACACTGTTCTCATTCCCAGTTCCCTCGAACGAATTAGGCCTTCTTTCTTGCCTCGGCTTTGGGCAAGAGGTAACGGTCTGCTTATCATCCTCAACGGCACTGCCCGGACGCAGCTTGTCGTCGGTATCAATTTCGCTTCGGTGCTCGAGGAGTCCAACTAATAGATCACTCTTCTGCGCGTTCACAAGTCCCGAGTCTCACGCAAGCTTGTCTCGAGCTCTTGGTACCGTATCTGAATGCCGAGTCGCCGGGCGGGGCCACCAAACAGAGCATCCGTGGCAAAATAGTTCGTGTGCTGACTTCCGTCCTGAACCAGGTGACACTGAAGGAAAACCGCAAGCGGGTCAGCTGCCGCAGGTATTTTCACATCCAACTTGAATGGCAGGTGGATACGCATTCGATCTCGTCGTGCGCCGCTAATCTGAAATGTTTCACCCTGGAGCAGCGTTTCCGAGGGACTACGTTCCCACGCGTCGGCGAATTGCCGTCACTGAGAGCGCTTGAATGATGGCTCGCGTAGACAGTTTGGAGAGTCGTGGGGTTCATCAATTTCGCTGAGTCTGTCGATGCAGTTGCATGTTTGCGGCGTCTTGGTTTAATCACCACCCCGTATTTCTTGCGAACACTATAGAGCTTGACCCGGAGAGCGTTCTCCATGTTTGATATCTTTTTGTCCCGCTCGTTTTCGTCAAGAGCCTCGTTAATATTTTGAAGTCGTAGGGTGAAAAGTGCTTCTGCAACGGCCATCTCACCTTCCATCGACAACAGTTGATGGGGGGACAATTTTGATGGGGGGACAATTGTGCAAAGGGACTGCTCCAATCTGCATACTCCTTCCCCTTTTCAATTGTTTGTGTCAGCCATTGAAGTGCTTGCATTATTTCTTCAAGGGAGAATGAGCTTGACGTCACTGATTCCGAGTTCTCTGTGGCTTGGCGTTGGCTGGATTGCTGTCTGCTTTGATCAGAGATGGGAGCACTACTTGGTGCTTCAGTAGACCCAGAATCGTTATCATTGAGGCAACGACCAGCCAATTTTTGTGTCCGAATTCGGCTTTTATGACTAATTTTAGCACTGATCTTGTCTTGTATAGCGTTGGCAAGCGATAAGCCTCATTGTAGAATCGAATTCGGATCCTCCCCTAAATAGCTTGCCGCCCACTCGAGGAACGGAGAAGAATAGCAGCTAATTTTCAAGTGCTTCCCCGAGTTCGTTTCTTGTTTCCTATGAGCATGCAATTCTGCTAGTGGTGCTCCCTTCAGGCCATGCTTAAAGCTATTAGGTGTCCAGCGAGTATAGTGGCAGATGGATCTTTTGCTGAGAAAGTAGTCAACTGTGTACTTCTTGCTGAGTAACTAGAGAATCATGTTGAGCCTAGCGTCGAGGCGCATAGTGATCTCGCGGATGAGTGCCGGTTTCGCATAAAATATAGCCGCTGGATGATCAATGATGAGTGTGATTCTTTTTAGACATTGACCTTCCGTATCGAATTCCAGGCAAAATTTGATTTTCCTATCAGGCGGACTGATACGAATTGGCTGGACAAACACCCGCAACAATAAGAAACGGCAGCGGCAGGATTTTGGCAACATCTGCAGAGAATTCATCATGAAATCTTTTCAGTTCTTTCGACCAGCGCGTTGTCGTACATTGTGGTTTGCGGCGATCATCTGAGCATTCGGCACGCCAGTGCCAATCGTAACCAAAGAGTGCTTCATCGTCCAGACCTTTACCATGAAGAAGCTGGATGGTAGGCGATTCGGGGTCCCAAAATGCAACATGCTGCCTATCATGGCTCACAACATGGAGAATCAGTCCGAGATCCGAATTCTCACGTCCTGAGGCTATAGTGAGGCGTGTGCGATCTTGGTTCGAAAGGCTTGTCTCTGCGGCATAGAAGGCTTCAAGTTTATTAGCCAGAATGGAAGCGAAGTCCTCCTTCTCGGTAAATGACTGGGCGATCCTGGTTATCAAAGAATTCAACAAGCAAGGCAAGTTCATGCTGTCCCAATTGGGTGGCGGCTGCCTCCACAAAACGCCGAGCAATAGCTTCGCCTGAGAGAAGTGTTACAATAGTTTGATGCCGGTCGTACTCAACATCGGCAGGCATGTTGACATCGAGTGTCGAATACTAGGTAGGATTCAATGTGCTCATTTTAGTAAGGCGATGCTTAAGCATCGCATCAAAACAATCCGAAGCCTGCATGATTCAAGTATTCTCAGTATTTCGTGACAGACAATCGTGTGTAGGCTTAATTAATTGGCACATATGCTCATACTCAAAAGCTCTATCGCAGTACTGGATGTACTTAAGAACGTCTGATTACCGGTGTCGTGTCAGAGATGTTTGTCTCCAGAGTGAAGTTAAGTTACGGAAGGGTAGCTACTAGGTCATAGTTATGGGTAAAAGCTCAATATTATTGATTCCTGAGTTCCCCTAAGAAGTATTGGAAGGGAACTCATCCTTATATAGTAAATACTAGACTGTCTCCCCACAATTAAGCTCCTTCTACCCTGCTGCGACCCTAGTCCCTGACATGTCGCGTCTTTGACTTGTCTTGTGGTAGGGGAAACCAAGGGGTGATGTGTAAATAAGCTGTGTCGAAAGTGATGATGATGAGAGAAGGTGCCAGATCCATGTATTTCCCCACCAGAATTCCTGTACAGAATACCTTGTCTTTTCCTCTCTTCTTCAAGTAGATTATTATTTCCAGAATAGAGGGGCTTGTTAGTCATCGCACCTACAGCTACTATTGCTTCTGTGACATATTACCTGTAATATCATGCGTCTAATAGAGAAAAAGCTTACTCCTCCCTCCTATAATGGAAGCGGCCGTTAAAAAAATTTTCTTGGTCTACACGGCCAGGAGAAGCAGCACAAAAAGAGAGTTAATGGTCAGTATGAGGGTCGAACTCATGGCCTTCGCATTACTTGATACAGTAATATTATACTGTATTAGTACGACGCTCTAACCAACTGAGCTAACCAACCGAATAATCGTTGAATAATCGCCCGCTTATTGCTGATTAGGTACGTACCTGGCATTAGCCCTGCACAAGGTGGTCAGTGCGCAACCCACAATCCATGTATTTCCCCACCAGACTACACAGGTTAAGACAGATTTGAAGCTGGCAGTTGGCATACGCAGTAGTGAAGCATGCGGACCAAATCGGTTTGGAGGTACAAGCCTGTGGACCTGTATGATACGGGCATGGCCGGGTACTACTGAACTCCGAATAAGAGTTCCTGATCTCCAATCGTTACTTGGTTGGTTAGCTCAGTTGGTTAGAGCGTCGTACTAATACAGTATAATATTACTGTATCAAGTAATGCGAAGGCCATGAGTTCGACCCTCATACTGACCACATTTATCTTTTTGCAACTTTTCAAACCAGATGCAAGATCTCTTGTCCCTTATAAGGGCTTATGATAAATGACTTCTTAGAAAGTCATCCGTCATGCGCCTCGATCGGGTGTATAATACCCTCTCGGGCCAGCTTCCTCGAGGCTAAGTCAAATACTAAAAGCCCATTGCTTGCCTATTATAGGTAAAATGACTTGTACTCTTCTAGCTCAGCTTCCTTGTGGCCATGTCAAATGCTGAAAGCTGGATGGTTGCAACTAACAGAAGAGAGGTCTCCCCTTTCTATCATCGTCGCCATCAAAATCTTCTTCGAGAATAAATACTCGAAAGCTCCCTATCTGATAATATCATGGATTTCCTACCCAAGCACCGCTTCTAGATGATCCACCCCTGAAGCTTCCAATTTCACCACCTATCCGCAACCATGCTTCAGACTGTCTGCCACACTACTGCCGAGTCTCATGATACTTTGGAGGAGTTGGCTAAGGTGATAGCAAGGTCGAATCGAGTTATCGCTATCACAGGTGCTGTATCAGTACCAGTGCCGGCATCCCAGTAAGAATAAAGACCCCTTGAGTTTTGGTGATGCTCACAGGACTAGGATTTCGAATCATTGAACTTAAATCGACCCGGTGTCAAGACTCGAGATCTCTTTCAGCAAACGGCTCTTTCTTATCTATCAGACGGGCCCGCACTGATCAAACTCTGCCTTGAACTATTTGAGCATGCAGAGACTAGTCAGCCAAGCCTACCGCATCGATTCCTTATGGATCTATTGAAAAGTGGCCAACTCGTCAGAACATATACGCAGAATATCGATTGCCTCGAAGAGCAAGCAGGTCTTTGCATAGACGTAAGCAAAGGGCCAGGTGTTTTCATTTCCGACCCTACCTCCGACACAACAGCGCCACTTCAACCATCTCTGCCTTGAGGCGTTGAATGTGTGAAATTGCATGGATCGATTCGTTTGCTTCCGTGCATAAAATGTAGACAGCAATGCAGTTGGTCCCAGTTGCTGAGCTCAGCGGCACATGGGCAACTTCCAACTTCCTCCCTGTCCAGCTTGTCCTACCATGAGCAGAAGGGGCCGTACACTACAGCCACAGCCAGGACTTCTCCGACCAGGCATCCTCCTATACGACGAGCCAGACCCGCGGGCCCAGACGATCGCAGAGATAATTCAACATGATTTGTCCCTTGATGTCGGCTTGCTTTTGATCCTCGGGACGAGTCTTATAGTACATGGCATCTAGAAACTGACTAGAGAATTTGTGAAACTTGCTCACAAGAATGATGGCCTTGTGTTGTATATTAACCAGAAAGGGCCGCCTAGAAAGCACTGGGATGGGGTGGTTGACTACTGGGTTGAGTGGAAATGCGATGCGTGGGTTAATGATTTGACAACTTGAGACCGCTGGCTGTCAACTGCGGGATGTTTGAAGTCAGCGACTATTGATGATGAAGTCCTGCGCTTAGAGCGTAAACGTCTTGCTGCTGAACCTGATCATATTGCCAGACACGTTAGAAGGCGTTGCAAGTCTGCAGGGGACGGGCGGCGAAGGTAAGCGTTGGTTGGGACAAGGAATCTATTAGTGATACATCGATATATGTATTGAGTGAATAGTTGGCTGTGAAAATAATAAGTGTTATGAAGTTGCTTCAGGTTACTTACTAGGTGCTCTAGTCGCCATTGCCAAGAAGTAAGAAATGCTCCGTTTGGATACGCAGACACGGCAGACCACCGTAATCCACCGTAATCCTCCGTTATCTTATGATCAGCTTTATGCACGCATAGGTGGGGTTTCGCTCAGGACGGGCTCAGTGCATAAAGTCCCCAATTTAATCCACCCACGTAAAACCCGGCGTAACGGGATCGTGGCTGGTGGTAGCTCTAGCCACTTTAGGAATACTTCTGCCCGGTGGGGCGAAGGTGTTAGCGCGCCAAGAATACCTGACAAGGAACACTTTACTGAACACAGACTGCGTAAGGTACTTGGCCAAAATGATTTGAAGCTCGAGTCTGTTCCAGGAACCTCCTAACTAGGCACCTATAGCTGCGCGAATTCGTAGATACAGGCGCCCAGAAGAAGAAGAAGCAGTCACCTCGATGTCGGGCCGCCTGCGGAAAAGCGGAGGGAGCAGCACGCTGCCACAGACCTCTTTAAGAGCGTCGCGCGTAAGTAAATAAAGAAATGCCCCTGCCAAGAAGCCTTCCTCACACGACCATCTCGACATGCTCTAGATCGCGTCGTTTCGCGCCTCGCACAACACCCAGCCAAGCTACGACCTGCTCACCGGCGCCGAACATGCCTCTTCTGCCCACCATGATCGGCCGTCTTCGCGACAGAGCCACGAGCCCGGCGAGTCGGTGCGGGCCTCGTCGCGCGAGAGTTCTAAAGAAAACCTCGCGCCACCCGACGCCGAAGAATACGAGACCCAGCGCAAGCGCATAGAAGAGCTGAAGGCTGAAGTTGCTACCATGCGCTACCGCATCGAGACCACCGAGCAGGAGAAGGAGATGCTGGTGCTACAACACGAGAACGAGATTCGCGAGGTCCAGCGCAAGGCCGAAGACGACTTCAAGCAGAAACAGGCAGCCGAGGGCGAAAAGAGCAGGGCGCAACGCCAATACGAGTCCATGCAGGAGGAGCTACAGACCGTGAAAGAGTCCTCGGCCCAGGATACTGCCGAGCTGGACAGGAGACTGCGCGAGTCCCAAGACGAAGCACGGCTACTCAGGGAACAACTGGAGGACTTGTCTGTTGCCAAGGAGGAGGGAGAGCGCATGACCCAAAGGCGAGCTAACGAGGTGGAGGCACAGCTGGCGGACTTACGGCAGACTATCGAGGAGCTAGAACACGACGCCCAAACACGCGAATCATCACTAAGTGCTGCGCAGGACAGATCAGCCCAACAAGATAGGCTCGTCGGCAACCTAGAGGCAGAAATAATACGGTTGAAAGCCCAGACGGGCGACGCTGAGACCATTGCGATAATTCGTCGGGAACTGAGTGACCAGGTTCAGCACATACGATCACTGGAGGCCAAAACATCCAAACAACATGCCGAACTGGTGCATCTTCGCCAGGTCCACAAGGCTGTTGAGATTGTCGAGGAAGAAAAGCGTTCGCTGCAACGAAAAGTTGACGCTGCTCAGGCACTAGAGGCAGAACTCAACGAGGTCCTCATCCAGAAGCAACGACTGGAGAACGAACGGTTGGCTTGGACAGCTTTTCTACAGAACGCTAGCGCAGAGGACGGAGTTATGGAATTCGATTCTCCCGAGGCCGTCGCTCGTGCCCTTGTCGAGGAGCGCTATAACTCGGCCTCCCTCGTGGAGAAGCTAGGCGAGGTACAGCCTCAAATCGCCGAGCGAGATGAGATAATCAAGTCATTAGAGTCGGACAAAAAGAACCTGACAACACAGCTTGAGAAATCAAGAACAACTGCTGCTCCTCTCACTGCTGGCAAATCCCAGGCTCGGCTGGAAAGGCAACGCGCGTTAGCTACAAAGGAAATTGAATATCTACGGGCTCAGCTGAAGACTTTTGATGCGGAAGATGAGACCTTCGACACAGGCAACTTCGACCAGCAGAAGGTCGACCGCATTTCTGAGCTCGAGAAACTTGTTGACACGTACAAGGAAGAAGTCCAAAGCCTACACAAAGAGCTGTCGGTGGCTGAGGCATCGGCTGGAACCCAAGAACCTGCTGTTGGGTCAAAGCGGAGTCACACGGATGAATCAGAGAACGAGCAGCTAGGCGAACTGAACCGGAAACGTCGTAAACTAGCAGACGACCTCTCAAAACTCCAAACGGCGCACCAGCTCTTGCAAAAGGAGCATGAGGTCCTGAACTCGCGACTCGCAGCAGCAGAGTCAGCAAACAAGACACGAGTCCTATCCCTGCGCTCAAACCCCACCTCTGATTTCGAAGCCATCAAAACAGCCACATTGGCGGCCCTCAAGCTCGAGAACCAAGAACTACTCGCCCAGCTGTCCAAAGAAGCGCGGCGCAACCCGAAGGCAGCTCTAATCCCAGCGTCCCAGCTGGCCGCGGCGCGGCGCGAGATCGAGGAGGCGCAGCGGGAGACGGCGTCGGCGCAGAAGACGACGCGGCGGCTGAAGGAGGTTTGGGCGGCCAAGTCGCAGGAGTTCAAGGAGGCCATCTTTAGTACGCTAGGGTGGACGGTGACGTTCATCCCGAACGGCAAGATGCGCGTCGAGAGTCTGTACTGCCCCAGCGCCACGGACGAGCACGAGAACAGCATCGTCTTCGACGGCGAGCGCGGCACCATGAAGGTTAGCGGCGGGCCCCAGAGCCCCTTCGCCCGCCGGATCGCCGACCAGATCCAGTTCTGGGTCCGCGACAAGGGCTGTATCCCCGGCTTCCTCGCCGCCCTGACCCTCGAGTTCTACGAGGAGCATACACGTGCTGCAGGCGGCTAGACGAATTGTTCCGTCCATCTATATATCCCTCTACCCATCTCTCTACCTCTCTACCTGTCTATCTTGATTGCTTTCACGACAGTAGGATTGCGATTAGCTATGAATGGCGTTTAGACGACAGCGGGCGAACGATGTTGTTCTTTTTGGCTCTGACTATTTATTTCTCTGCCTTGTAATGGTAATACATGTACATATGGTTGATACCTCGCTCGCAACTCGAGATAGATGGAAAGTCGGGGTTGTAATATGGAGTTCATGATATCCACCACCTAGCGATTCGTGCCTTGAGAAATCGACAACATTTCCAATATGAATAGTATCAGAACATCCTTTGCCAAAGATAAAAAAAGACTAATGGGAATACTGATAACGTGAAAAGTAATAATGATTCATGTCTAGCCTGACCGAGATGATTAGTCTAGGGTAAGCCAGAACTTAACTAATATTGCAGTGATGGTTGGTTATATGACAAAGTATGATCAAATTATCGAGACTATGTACGATGCTTTTTTTCTTTTTGGAATATTTCAGAACAGATGATGATGATGATGACA